TGAGGAAATGAGCTACAGAAGAGGTAGATAGTCTTGGGGTGCAGGTGTGACTGGTTGGATCACAGAAACCCCCTTGGGAGCTGCCACCTGATGTGCAAAGACCAGGGCCAGCTCTAGGCACCAGCAAAACAAGCTGGTGCTTGGGGTGGCACATTTTTAGGCACCAGAATGCCGTCCCTGGCGCCCCTAAAAATGTGCCCCGGCCGCCCTAGCTCACCGCCACGGTGCGCGAAACAGCTGATTCGTGTGCCGCTGCTCACCCTCCATCCCAGGATTGAGAGCCTGGGAGGGAGGGGGAGACTTTGAGTAGCCGCGGACGGGGCGGGAGGGGGGTGGCCAAAATTGTTTTTGCTTGGGGTGGCAAAAATCCTAGAGCCGGCCCTGGCAAAGACTACCTCTGCTCCTGTTTTCCCTGCCAGCTCAGGACTCCAGCACCCTGTCTTGCTGAGCCAGACACTCCCGTCTGCTCCAACACAGACCCAGGCTCTGAATCACTTGCCCCAAAGCTGCAAGTTTACTTGAAAACAGCTCACAGAAGTGTGCTTGTGTTTAGCACTCAGATGCCCAACTCCCAATGGGGTCTAAACCCAAATGAATCCGTTTTACCCTGCATAAAGCTTATGCAGGGCAAACTCAAATTGTTCGTCCTCTATAACACTGATAGAGAGATATGCACAGTTGTTTGCTCCCCCAGGTATTAATACATACTCTGAGTTAATTACTAAATAAAAAGTGATTTTATTAAAAGCAGAAAGTAGGATTTAAGTGGTTCCAAGTAGTAACAGACAGAACAAAGTCACCAAGTAAAATAAAATAAAATGCACAAATCTATGTCTAATCAAACTAAATACAGATAAGTTCCTCACCATTTCCAGAATGCTCCCTTTTACAGGTTAATCTCCTTTTAGCCTGGGTCCAGCCATCACTCGCACCCCCTGTAGTTACTGTCTTTTGTTCCAGTTCCCTTCAAGTATCCTGAGGGGTGGAGAGGTTCCTTCCTTAGCCAGCTGAAGACAAAAATGGAGGAGTCTCCCACGGGTTTAAATAGACTCTCTCTTGTGGGTGGAGACCCCCCCCTCCTCCCTCCTATGCAAAGTCCAGCTCCAAGATGGAGTCCCTGCATGAGTCAGTCTTTACAGGCCGAAGCCATTGTCCACATGGTAGCTTGTATGTCTCCAGGAAGACTTTTTATGTGGATTGGAGCATTCCAAGATGTGTTGTTCCCCAAGTGTTTCCTGATCGGGTACTTAACCTGGCGAATTCCTCCCTAAAGAAACTGACCAAATGCGTCACAAAGCTCACTTAGAAACCAAGCC